CCTCCTTTTCTGAATAAATGCGTGAAAAAAAGGAAGTATTCAAGTCACCATCCTTGAGCCAATGCATTTTCGCCTTCTTCTTGAGAAAAGAGAACTTTGCTTTGTGAGCAGCCTGATAATCCATTCTTGCCTGTTTTTCTTCAACAATGAGATCTTCATTAGTAGGATTCCCATCCAACTTTTGCTAAATAGCCATCAATTTACAAGTAGCCTCCGAATCTTCAGTTTCAATGGAGGACTGGGAGCTCAGGTTCCTGTCCTTCAAAGCCTTCTTCACAGCCTGTAATTTTTTAACCACTCGAAACATGGTCGTACCCCTTATCTGCCTGCACCACTCTTGCTCAACCAACATCAAGAATCCCGGAGCATCAGTCCAAAAATTAAAAAATTTAAACGGCTTTGCAGATTTATCACTCAGGCCAAACAAATTCATACAACAAGGGATATGGTCCATAGTACCTTCTGGGAGAAAAATAGCAGAAGCCTTGTCAAACCTTCTGAGCCACTCATTATTTACAATCACCCTATTAATTTTCGAACAAACTCTATGATGCACATCTTGTTTATTGTTCCAAGTGTAAAAGAGACCCCCAACTTTAAAATCTGTAAGGTCATTCTGACTCAGACACTCCCTAAAATTCTTGACTTCATCAAAAGTACAAGGACAACCTATTCGATCCTCTAAGTTGAGAATATTGTTGAAATCACCACCAATGAACCAAGGATCCTTCGCACTCCTAGCCAACTTAGAAATCTGGTCCCATAAGACCACCCTTTCCTTCGGGTCATTCAAGCCATAAACCATAGTAACCAGGAAAACAGTGCTCGAGGCTCTATGTTTCCTAGAAAGATGAATCAATTTTTCTTCAACCATAATCACAGAAACTTGGAAAATAGCAGGGATCCACATGACCCATATTCTACCTTTGCCACTTTTAGCATAATTAGAAACCACATACCAACTATCTCCAAAACTACTAAATACTTTACCAAAATACTTCACTTTCACCTTAGTCTCCATGAGTCAAAATAAACCCAAGTTGTGATGATTCAAAAACCAAGAAACATCACACCTTTTACTAGGTAAATTTAGACCTCGAACATTCCAAAACCCGAGACTATCCATGGAAAGAGTAAGAGCATTCACCCTCCTCCATCCCACCATACAAAGTCCTTCCTTCCTCTATACTGCAAATCGCACATTTCCAAAGCCACTAGGAATATGGACTGTCTGTTCAACCTCCAATTCACCATTTCCATCCAAGGCAGAAAATATGTTCTCGGTCTCAACATTAATTGTTGCCTCCTATTGTCTAGCTTGCTGAGAAGTAGGGGCAGGATCCCTAGCCTTTGCAACAGGCCTCCAGACTTTCATTTGATTCAATTAGCATTGTTGAATGCATTTGACCTTTATTTGATTCAAAAGCTTTATTTGAATGTGTTTGACTTTCATTTGATTCAATTAGCTTTGTTGAATGCATTTGACTTTCATTTGATTCAAATAGCTTTGTTTAAATGTGTTTGACTTTCATTTGATTCAAAAATCTTTGTTTAAATCTGTTTGACTTTCATTTGATTCAATTAGCTTTATAGATTGAATTTCACTTTCATTTGATTTGAATAGCTTTGTTTGAATGTGTTTGACTTTTAGTTGATTCAAAAAGCTTTGTTTGAATGTGTTTGACATTCATTTGATTCAATTAGCATTGTTGAATGCATTTGACCTTAATTTGATTCAAAAGCTTTATTTGAATGTGTTTGACTTTCATTAGATTTAATTAGCTTTGTTGAATGCATTTGACTTTCATTTGATTCAAAAATCTTTGTTTGAATATGTTTGACTTTCATTTGATTCAATTATCTTTGTAGAATGCATTTAACTTTGATTTGATTCAAATAGCTTTGTTTAAATATGTTTGTCTCGCATTTGATTCAAAAATATTTGTTTGAATGTGTTTGAATTTCATTTGATTCAATTAGCTTTGTATATTGCATTTCAGTTGCATTAGATTTAATTAGCTTCGTTTGAATGTGTTTGACTTTAATTTGATTCAAAAAGCTTTATATGAATGTGTTTGACATTCATTTAGTTCAATTAGCATTGTTGAATGAATTTGACTTTAATTTGATTCAAAAGCCTAATTTGAATGTGTTTAACTTTCATTTGATTCAATTAGCCTTGTAGAGTGCATTTGACTTTCATTTGATTTAAAAATCTTTAATTGAATATGTTTAAATTTATTTTGATTCAATTACCTTTGTAGAATGCATTTGACTTTGATTTAATTCAAATAGCTTTGTTTTATTGTGTTTGATTCTCATTTGATTCAAAAATCTTTGTTTGAATGTGTTTGACTTTCATTTGATTCAATTAGCTTTGTATTACATTTCAGTTTCATTAGATTTTATTAGCTTTGTTTGAATGTGTTTGACTTTCATTTGATTCAAAAAGCTTTGTTTGAATGTGTTTGACATTCATTTAATTCAATTAGCATTGTTGAATGCATTTGACTTTAATTTGATTCAAAAGCCTTATTTGAATGTGTTTGACTTTCATTTGATTCAATTAGCTTTGAAGAGTGCATTTGACTTTCATTTAATTCAAAAATCTTTGTTTGAATGTGTCTGACATTCATTTGATTTAATTAGCTTTGTAGAATGAATTTGACTTTAATTTAATTCAAAAATCTTTGTTTGAATGTGTTGGACTTTCATTTAAGTTAAAAAGCTTTGTTTGAATGTGTTAGACTTTAATTTGATTCAATTAGCTTTGTAGATTGCATTTGACTTTCATTTTATTTAAATGGCTTTGTTTGAATGTGTTTGACTTTCATTTGATTCAAAAAGCTATGTTTGAATGTGTTTAACTTTCATTTCATTCAATTAGCTTTGTTGAATGCATTTGACTTTATTTTATTCAAAAAGCTTTATTTGAAAGTGTTTGACTTTCATTCGATTCAATTAGCATTGTTGAATGCATTTGACCTTAATTTGATTCAAAAGCTTTATTTGAATGTGTTTGACTTTCATTTGGTTCAATTAGCTTTGTTGAATGCATTTGACTTTCATTTGATTCAAATAGCTTTGTTTAAATGTGTTTGACTTTCATTTGATTCAAAATCTTTGTTTGAATGTGTTTGACTTTCATTTGATTCAATGATTTGTAGATTGCATTTCACTTTCATTTGATTTAAATAGCTTTATTTGAATGTGTTTGACTTTCATTTGATTCAAAAAGCTTTGTTTGAATGTGTTAGATTTTCATTTGATTCAATTAGCATTGTTGAATGCATTTGACTTTAATTTGATTCAAAAGCTTTATTTGAATGTGTTTGATTTTCATTTGATTCTTTTTTTTTTTTTTTTTTGGTAAGTAAGGAGCTTTTATTACCAAAAGAGAAGGAAGACAAATCTCACCCAAACTACACGAGCCAAACGGTCAAACAAACCAAAAACCAGAAACATAACCAAACACAGGCCAACACTATCTTAAGCCTTTTCACTTAGCCAAACCAAGCCCAAAACAAACAAAGAAAACCAACATTAGAAAACAGACCACTAACAGAAGACTAGTTACAAGGCATACTATTTCTGAGATTAAACATCCATTTAGCTTGCTTCCTTGACCAAGAGCCACTAATGAGTTCATGGCACCTGTCCATTACTTCCACACATACTGCTCTGCAAATCTTCTCTGGCCGGATCACAGCTTTGTGCCACAAGGCATGATTTCTGGCTAACCATATGTGATAAACAAGGGCAGTGAGAACAGCTAATCTTACTTTCTGTTGAACTGAGTCTGCAGACACTCTCTTCCACTGCTTCTATGCTGTGTCTATTACAAAGCTCCTATGCTTGATCCCAATCCATGGGCATTGATAATTTATGCAAGGCTTACTGTAACAACACTCAAAAAACAAATGCTGAACAGATTCTTGAGCTACACCACATAGTAAACACTGATCAGTCTCACACACTCCAATGTTGTGCAACTTAGTTCTTAGTCTGAGTCTGTTATGGGCAGCAAGCCAAGCAATGAACGAATGTTTTGGGACATTGAATTTATTCCATATCCAATTAGTCCAACTGACTGTAGGTATGCTTCCAATAATCCACCTATAGCCTTCAGCAATAGTATAGGCACCTTCTGTCCATTTGTTACAGATGAAACCTGCTTTCATTTCCTCTTTAACCCTGTAGATTTTCTTCCATGCCCAGCCTGCCCCTTTGCTTGGAGTATAGTTCCACCAATCTCCATGCTTGATATAAACTGAGTGCACCCATTTTACCCATAAAGAATCCTTTTTACAGGCTACCTTCTAAATATACTTGCCTAAGGCTGCTTTATTCCAAGCACTGCAATTTCTAATTCCCATACCACCCATCTTTCTAGGTTTACAAACCCAGTCCCAGGAGATAGGGGGAGCTTTGGATAAAGAAACATGTCCATCCCACAAATAAGCCCTACAAAGCTGATTTATTCTATCAACAACACTTTTAGGCAAAAGCACACACTAAGCCCAATAAGAGTAGAAACTGATCAAGACTGAGTTGATGAGAACCACCCACCCAGCATATAACAAATTCGTACTTGACCAGCAAGTAATACTAGCCAGCATCATGTTTATGAGCACATCAAAATCACTGTTTCTAAGATATTTGGAGTTTAAAGGGATTCCCAGATACCTGAAAGGAAAGTCTCCTTCAATAAATCCAGAAGAAGCCAAGATATCTTGCTTTATAAATCCTCATTCACATTCCCAAAATAAATGGTTGTTTTTTCCTCATTAGCTTTCAGCCCCGAAACCATGTGAAAAGTCTTCAAAACTCTAACTAACAAAGACACAGAAGCCTTATCACCATAAGAGAAAATCATTAAATCATCAGCAAAGATCAGATGATTTAACTTCAGAGGATTGCATCTGTGATGATATCCACCTTTATTGTACATCTAGGAGCCTTTCTCTGATTTTTGTAATCCTTGAGAAGGTCTTGACAGATCATGATGTTATCAATGATAGCCCTCCAGAGATAAAAGCCCCCTGCTCTTCACTAATGATATCAGGAAGAATTTCCTTTAGCCTAGTACAAATCATCTTAGAAATGATCTTGTAAATCACATTACAGCATGCTATAGGACGATATTGAGTAACAGCTGTTGCACTAGCCACCTTTGGAACTAAAGTAAGAGAAGTAGTATTTATTTGCTTTAAGAGCATACCTGTTTCAAAGAAATTCAAAACAGCCCCACACACATCAGCCTTGACTATTTCCCAGGCCTGCTTAAAAAAACTACTAGTATACCCATCTGGACAAGGACACTTATTTTCATCAATATCCCAGAGAGCATTCCTCACATCAATCTCAGTAAAAGGTGTGATAACAGCATGTTTCTGACTTTCAGACAAGACCTGACCAGCCTGAATCACTTCAGTATGAATATCCATCACTTCCCCCTCATCACTTCCTAGCAATTTCTGGTAATAAGAGACAAAAGTTTCAGCAATCTTATTAGGAGCACTGATCATCTCCCCATTCTGATTCTGAATAGAACAGATTCTGTTCATCACCCTTCTATTTCTGATGCAAGAATGAAAGTAGCTAGAGTTCAAATCTCCTTCCTTCATCCAATAAGCTTTGGCTTTCTGTTTTAGGAAAAGAAACCTAGCCTGATCAGCTTCAGCATGTTCAGCCCTTGCCTCATGCTCCTGCTTTATCTTCATTAGTAGGGTCACTATTCACCTTCAACTGAATATCAATTAACCTCTTCTCAACTGCTAGATCTTCACTCTCAACATTTGAAAAACACCTGGTATTAAGGCATTTCAAATGTTTCTTGATGATTTTCAATTTCCGAACAAGTCTAAACATAGAAGTACCATTAATAGAGCAGTTCCAAGCATCCTTTACTATCTCAAGAAAATTCGGAGCTTCAATCCACATATTGAAAAATCTGAAAGGCTTTCTAACATTCCAACCCTGATTATCTAGCTTCATACAACAAGGAGAGTGGTCCATTAATCCCTCAGGAAGGAACTCAGCACTGAAGTAGGGGAAAGTGCTCAGCCAGGATCTGTTAACTATCACTCTATCAATTTTGGTGCAAACCTTGTCTCTTCCCACCTGTTTATTGTTCTAAGTGAACAACATGCCTCCAGTATTAAAATCCATCAGATCATTACTTTTCAAGCAGGTTCTAAACTTCTCAACCTCAGCAATAGTACAAGGAGTACCTAGCCTATCCTCTAGATTCAAAATACTATTAAAATCACAAGCAATCAACCAAGGCTCACTGATTGAGGTAGCCAAAACAGAAATTTGCTCCCATAGCTTCTCCCTCTCCCTAGCATCATTAAGACCATACACCATAGTAACCCAAAACGACTTCATAGAAGCTCTATGGGTTACCAAAGTGTGAATGTATTGCACTCCAACCTTGCAGCTACTTACAGAAAAAATAGAAGGGAGCCAGATAAGCCAAATCCTTCCAGAACTATGAGCAGAATAGTTAGTAACAATTGACCACTCCTTACCAAAATTCCCAAACACCTTACTAAACCTCCTAGCCTTCACCTTCGTTTCCATGAAACCAAATAATCCCATATTATGATGTCTCATGAACCATAAGACATCACATATCTTATTGGGCTTATTTAGCCCCCTCACATTCCAAAACCCTATCCTATCCATTAACAGAAAAAGAACATCCTCCACCACCCATCCTTCCATACACCACTTGACCACTCCTTATTCCTATCAATTAACTTGCACTACCATCCTTTGAGGTCACATTTACCTGCTCTAACTCCACAATCTCACCTTCCTCCATATCTTTCTACGAATCAGAGAATCTATTCCTCAGAGTAACATTTGGAGTGTGACTAGACTTCCCTACCCTATTATGCTCCTGAACTGGTCTCCATTCCTGTCTCATAGGCTGCCCCATGCCATTTACTTTAGTTATTCTCTGCCTTTCCCTAACCTTGTGATTAGGGCACTGGTCACAATTGTGACCCATTCCATGACACATAGTACATTGAACTGGCTTCCACTCATATACAATTTTCTGAGTCACCTTCTCTCCATTTTCATCCAGAAAACTGACTGCAGAAGGCAATTCCCCCTTCACTATTAACTTCTACCATTACAAAAGCATACCCAATTAGTTCCTTCACAGCTGTTGCCCTATCAGTTTTAACTGGTTTCCCAAGAATCCCAGCAATTTTCATCAAAGAAGACTGGCTCTAGAACTTCAGCTCCAATCCCGGCATACGAACCCAGATAGGAACGTCATTAATGTCTTCTGATTTTAGATTAATTCCAGGCTCCCATTTCTTTGTGATAAAAGGTTTCTTATCAAAGAAGATAGGTCCAGCCATAAGAGCCTATTCTTGCCCTTCAATCGACTTAAATCGTACCAAGAAAACCCCGTTCTCCATTGTAGACACCCGATCAACCCCAAATCTACCCCAAGATCTTCTAATGAAAGCATTCATGATCCTATGAGGCAAATTTGAACTAAGAACATAGCACACAACAACAAAATTCCGGAAATCAATTTCTGGTTTCACATCATCCAATGTAATCCTGACCCATTCATCCCTCTTTACACTAGCATTCTCTCCATCAAACGCATTGATATTCTTTCTTTGAGTTAAATCTAATCCTTCATCTTTATTTTCTTTAAAGAGTTCATTCCATTTACGAGCATTATTCAGCCCAAACATTAAAGTAGCAGGAGAAGCAAAAACAGGGTATTCCGAAATAGGGCTTAAACCCTCATTGCCATGCCAATGATCATACAACAAATCTTGACTAGAATCATTACCAATCATCAGTAATGGAGTTGGAATATCATACCTCAAAGGAGAATCAGAAGAAAAACCTTCCTCGGAACTCTATTTCTTGTTTAACAATGGCGATTGCTGAGAAATCACTGCTAACCATTGATTGAATTGAGTTGCATGCAATTGTTTTTCCTCCTCCGACACTGGTTTAACCTTGATTTCCTCATTACCCTCCTTTGTAAGCTAACTGTCCATCGAACTAACCTCCATCATCGAACCCACATCCTTGCTTTTTGCTCTAGCACGAGTATTCGGCTTAGACTTACTCTTCTTCTTGGATTTAGAGCCAGAAGATTTCTTTCCTTTACCCTTTTTCCCTTTTGCCATGGCTCAAATCCAGAAAAAGATTTGAGGAAAAATGGCGCCAGAAAAATTCTCTCTAGCTTTCTCTCTCTAGCTTTGATTTTCATTTGATTCAATTATCTTTGTTGAATGCATTTGACTTTCATTTGATTCAAAAATCATTGTTTGAATATGTTTGACTTTCATTTGATTCAATTACCTTTTTAGAATGTGTTTGGGGTCCAAATGACTTGTATTTGGGCCCAGTCCACAAATGAAAATAAATAAAGCCCAACAGGCAAGGTTAAACCCTCAATCCAATAAGTCAAGTCTGGTATAGCAAGGCCCAGCTAAATGGCAGCCCATTTAGCTCCTCAAGCCGAATCCACTCAATTGGAGTAAGGTATAAAAGCTCATATCTTTGTACAATCACATTCATTCACACAAATTGCCTCAAGCAACAAAGTATCTTGCATAGCTTTTCTCTCATCACCTTACATCCGTACTGACTTCGGCATCAGAGAGGCCTTTCTCGGCACAACCCCCGAGGCCAGTTTACGTTTATTTAGCTGTGCAGGAAATCCTCAATTCGGTCATCACTCGAATTGGGCTTCATCTTCACTCATCCGAAGGACCTGCCGAAGGTCCATTATTTTCTTACCAAAACAATTTGGCGTCGTCTGTGGGGATACTCACAAAAATTCAGCCAAAAATCTCATACCAATCTTAGCCAACGCAAAAATGACTAAGAGTGCAAAGAGCTCTTAAAAAGCTAGAAAGATGAGCCTAATAACGGTAAGGACTGGTAGAACACCTTCACCGTCGCCTGAGCCATCTGCTTCTAACTCCCCGAGGGGAGAAAATATGCGTGTGGGATCTCCCTCCCAACGGGATTACCAAACTGAGAACTCGCCGAGGGAGAGAGAGGCTCATAAGCGTAGTCCTTCACCAAGCATGCATTCAACTCCTCCTACCGGTCCGTCGACCGAAGAAGTAATGAAGGCCATGGCTATGTGCATGGACTTTATGAACGCCTTAGGGGGACGCTACCCATCAACGAAGAAATCACCTTCTCCACCTCTCAAGTCGCATGATCGGAAGAGAAAAAGTGGTACCGAGGGAGAGATGCAGGCCCCGTCCTCAAAAGGGGAAGGAAGCCGAAGGGCTGGGCATCCAGGCGGGTCCGGGCAGGGACAGAGAAGGGGCTCCGGTCACTTAGAAAACTCCAAAGCTCGGAACTCCGAGGATCATCATGACAGCCATAATGTCTCTCGCCGAAGCATTCGCGAACGCCTAGGTGGCAAGGAGGGAGGCGTGCATAGCCGCCTCACCTATCCAGAAGGGTCTCAACCCTCCATGTCACGTTAAGGGACACCCCCTGCATCCACCTCTCTAAGAGGGAGAAGTAGGGTTCCTTCGTCGCGGTAGAAGGGAAAGGCCGTAATGGTTCCGACCGGTTCCCCATTCCAAAGGTGGATACTGGAGGAACATGTGCCGACGGTCAAAATTCCGGCACACATTACGTACGATGGTACTTTGGATCCGAAGGATCACATAGTCTCCTATGAGGGGCATATGTACCTTAACCCAAGATCAGAAGCTACATGGTGCAAATACTTCCCTACAACCCTTAAAGGTGTTGCCTAATCATGGATCACCAAAGGGCTGAAGGAAGGCTAGATAATAGGTTGGAGCGACCTGGCCAACAAGTTCAAGAGCAAATTTTCCACAGCTAACCGCCGAGAGAAAACTACTACAGATCTCATGGGCCTGCAACAAGCGTAATACGAGAGTCTCCGAGACTATTTGACTCGCTTCAGCAATAAGTCATCCAGAATCATCAGTCTGGACCAGAGCCTGGCCGTATTCGCACTACGAAATGGCTTGCAAGTTGGCAAATTTCTGGATTTCATGGTCATGCATCTCTCGCAGACCTTGGAAGAAGCCCTCGACGCTTCAGATAAATTCATCCGAGTCGAGGAATGGAATAAGGCAAAGCTGCAATCTCAGTCAGGGCTTGCAAAGCCAAAAGGGCAGCCAGCCAAAGGTCCAAGGTCGAGGAAAGGGAAGGCAAAAGCCTCAGAAGCTCCCTCGACCGCAAAGCCGAAGAACGATAAGGCTCCCTATTTGGGAAAATTCGAATCTTACACCCCTCTCACATTACCACGTACTAAGATCTTTAGTGCGACGAGGGAGGAGGGAAGATTCAAAAAGCCGAAGCCACCTCCTTCTTGGCATCAGAAGAAAGGGAAGGACCATTGGTGTGAGTTCCACGAATCTCGTGGGCACCGCACAGAGGACTGCCTTCAGCTGAAGGACCAGATTGAAGAGCTGGTCCAGAAAGGGTACTTAAAGAAATATGTCGCGGAGCGTCGCGAAGAAAAGAAAGCTGAGAAAGACTCTCGGCAGGATCTGGACTACCACCGGAAAAGGGACAGACCTCCCGAGGGAGGAAACAATGACATCCTAACCATTGCCGGGGATATTTCTTGGAATGCACTAAAGCGCCAACTGAGGGGTCTCACCCATCAGATTCATCATGCTGAATTCCGAAAACCGCAGTCTCTGGTGCCGAACATGATGTTCACATTCGAATATTGCAGGGGGGTGGTGTATCCCCATGATGACCCACTGGTTATCATGACAAGCATCGCAAACCACAACGTCTATCGGACACTGGTAGACGGGGTCAGCGGGGCGAATATACTTTTCCGAAAGGCATTCGACCAGCAGAAGTTAGAGAGCAAGCACTTGACTCCTGTTCCAAACCCGGTTACTGGGTTTAACGGCTTCCTTCATATCCCGATGGGAAAATTCTTCTTCCCGTCAGCCTTGGCCAAGACCAAGCAAGACAAAGCATCATGGCCGAATTCTTGGTCATCGATGCCCCATCAGTTTACAACGTCATTATGGGGAGACCCCTCATCCATGATGTTCAAGGAGTCGTCTCGACATATCATCAAGCAATGATCTATGTTTCAGACGAGGGACGCTCCGAAAAAATCTTGGGCAGCCAAAGAAAGGCCCGAGAATGCAATTTCCTCAAGCCATCCAAGAGTCGTCGTAGTGACAAGGATGATGAGGAAGAAAAAGATAAAGAAAAGGAGCGAGGTACCAAATGGTCGAAAGGTCTAAGTGCGTCGGCTCAGGGGTCCCCAAAAAAGAGAACATCTCTGGGGACTGGAAAGGCAAGCTCTTCGGCTAGACCAAAAGATTCGGACGAAGATCAGCCGAAGAAAGGGAAGTTTGCTGATATTGACAATAGAACTGAACCAGAAGAGCCTGGCTCCAAAGGAATGGAGTCAGACGAGCAAACTGAGTCAATACCGTTGACCGAAGGAGATACTGAAAAATGTGTCAGCATCGGACAAGGGCTCGATCCGAGCCTCCGGGTTGAACTAATTCAACTCCTTGGAGACAACTGAGATGTGTTCGCATTCTCAGCAGCTGACATGCCGGGAATTGATCCGAACCTTATCTCACACAAGCTTAATGTCGATGCCACATGTCGGCCAGTTAAGCAAAAGAAGCGGAATTACTCCGCTCAGAAGAACCAAGATATCGCAGCCAAAGTCAAAAAACTTCTCGATGCATGGTTCATTGAGCCCTGCCAATATCCTGAATGGCTGGCGAATGTGGTAATGGTTCAGAAAGCTAATGGCACTTGGAGAGTGTGCATTGACTTCACGGACCTGAATAGGGCCTGTCCGAAGGACTTCTATCCCTTGCCGAGAATCGATCAGCTGGTCGACTCGACGAGTGGCCATGCTCTGCTCAGTTTCATGGACGCATTTTTTGGGTACCATCAGATTTTCATGCACCCCGATGACAGAGCAAAAACGACATTTGTTACAAGCGCCGGGGTGTATAACTATAAAATGATGCCCTTCGGCCTGAAGAATGTCGGGGCTACATATCAGAGGCTGGTGGACCAAGTGTTTGCCGAGCAAAAAGGCCGCAACATGGAGGTCTATGTTGATGATTCCATCGTCAAGAGCAAGGAGGCGAGAGACCATGTTGTCGACCTAGCTGAAACGTTCGCCACTCTGAGAAAGCACCAAATGAAGCTGAATCCGAAGAAATGTGTCTTCGGCGTGAGGTCTGGGAAATTCCTAGGCTTCATGGTCAGCAAGAGGGGGAGTGATGCCAATCCCGCCAAAGTTCAAGCAGCTCTTGATCTTCCCGAGCCGAAGACAAAAAGGGACATTCAGCGTCTTACCGTAGGATGGCTGCCCTATCCAGGTTCATCTCAAAGGCCTCGGATAAGGGGTTGCCCTTCTTCAAAGCGCTGAAATTGCTAAAATCTAAGGAGCTCATATGGGAAGATGAGCAAAAGATAGCCTTCCAGCGCTTCGAGAGCACCTGGCTAACCTCCCGACACTGGCAAGACCAGCCGAAGGAGAAGTCTTGTACCTATATGTGGCAGTTAGCCCTGCTACAGTGAGTGCGGTGTTGCTGAAGGAAGAAGAAAAGGTTTAGCAACCGATCTACTTCGTCAGTCACACTTTGACTGATGCCGAAACGCGCTACCCCCTGCTCGAAAAATTGCATATGCAGTGGTAGTATCAGCTCGGAAGTTAAGGCCTTATTTTGACTCACATCAGATAGTGGTCTTAACGGATCAACCACTGGAAAAAGTCCTCGGAAAGGTTGAAAAGTCAGGCAGACTAACAAAGTGGGCCTTCGAGCGCACTGAGTTCAGCATAAACTATCAACCAAGGGTAGCCATTAAGGCCCCAGCCCTAGCAGATTTCCTGGCCGAATGTTCCTATCAGGAAACAATCAACGAAGGGAAGGGGACTTGGACTGTGTTTACGGATGGCTCAGCCATCGTAAATGGTTCGGGAGCTGGGGTAGTAATTACCTCTCCCGAAGGCAAAAACTTCGAGTATGCACTAAAATTTTCGTTCAAGGCTTCTAACAACGAAGCAGAATATGAAGCAGCAATCGCTGGCTTAGAAATATGCATAGCCCTCGAAGTCGAGCATGTCTGCTTGAAGACAGATTCTCAGCTAGTCGCTAAACAGATTCGGGGCGAATATGAGGCTAAAGAGCCCTCTATGATCTCTTATCTCGCCAAGATCGAGTCAGTCATAGCGAAGTTGAGAACCTTTGAATGTGAACTGATCCCAAGGGGTCAGAATGCTCAAGCCGATGCACTATCCAAACTTGCAAGTTCAACTCTTACCGAGCTGAACCGATCTATATATGTGGAAGTGCGCCGAAAAAGAAGCATTGACCAAGAAATAGAGGTCCAATGCGTCGAAGCTGAACCAGGATGGATGGACCCCATCTTGGCTTATAAACTTCAAGGAACGCTCCCCGAGGATAGGAACCTAGCCGCAAAAATGAAAAGGGTCGGCTCAAGGTTCATCTTCTACAACGGGGAACTGCTGAAAAAATCCTTCTCAGCCCCACTGCTAGAATGTGTGGGCCCAACAGATTCGGATTACATCCTTCGGGAAATCCACTTCGGCATCTGTGGAAACCACATAGGGGGAAGGACCCTAGCCTATAAAGAATTACGGACAGGATATTATTGGCCAACCATGATCCAAGATGCCAAGGACTTGGTGAGGAAATGCGAAAAATGCCAAAAATTTGCACCAGTTATCCATCAGCCTTCGAGGGACCTTCAGCCGATCCTGAATCCACTCCCTTTTGCTCAATGGGGGTTGGATATTCTAGGACCATTTCCTGAGGCTCCTTATCAGAAAAAGTGGTTGATAGTTGGAATCGACTATTTCAGCAAATGGATAGAAGCCGAAACGGCCTCAAACATAACTGAGCAGACTGTTAGGAAATTTATCTGGCAGAATATCATTACTCGCTTCGGCATTCCAAAAGTGTTTGTCTTCGATCATGGGAGGCAATTCGATAACCTGCCGCTGAGGCGGTACATAGATCAGTTCGGCATAAAGGTGGCATATTCGGCAGTCTGTCACCCTCAAAGTAATGGCCAGGCCAAAGCCGCAAATAAGCAGATACTTAACGCTCTCAAAAAGAGAGTTGAAGATAAAAAGTCCAAGTGGATAGAGGAACTTCCCGGAACTCTATGGTCACTTTGAACAAACGAAAAAAAGGCTACGGGGCATTCACCTTTTGAATTGGTGTATGGAACCGAAGCTGTTTTACAAGTGGAAATTGGCTCAGAAATTCTTCGAGTCAATCAGTTCTCAGCCGAAGAAAATGAGCTTTGCATGAAAGAGTCCCTTGATTTCTTAGAGGAGATCCGAGATTCGGCAAGGGACAGAATGGCAGCATACAAACAGAGAATCAGCAAGTTCTACAACCGAAGAGTTCAGTCAAGACTCCTTAAGGTGTGGGACCTTGTTCTTCGAAATACTATTGCTGTCCAGAAAAGTCACATCCATGGAAAACTCTCGGCTAACTGGGAAGGGCCTTATGAAATATACGATAACCTCCAGGCAGGAACTTATCGAATTCGGCAATTAGATGGAACTGAATTGAAAAACCACTGGAATGCAGATGTACTTAGGAAATTTCATGTGTAAAACCCCCCAATGCGGGAGAAAAATTTGTGTAAGTACATTCTCTTCAGATCAATGAAAGGCCTTTGAGCCGCAATTATTCAAAATTCAAATTTCATGTGTAAAACCCCCCAATGCGGGAGAAAAATTCAAGGTTTACACCCCGTGCTGTCCGAAGTATTGCATAATGATGCACTGTACTTCGGCAAGCCGAAGAACCTGCCAATATGGAGGTAATAAATAAAACCTTGGGGTATTTCATAATGCTGCACTGTACCTCGGACGGATTTGTTACCCTCGGCGAGGAAGTCATAGGCTCATCTAAGACATAGACGAAAATAGGAATTGATAAAACCCCCGAAGCATTGCATGATGATGGCCTGTGCTTCGGCGAATCAATTCCGGGTGGCGATTGTAGGGTTTCGTAGTAACCCGACACTACGCGGAAGGAAACCCCCAAGACCCGCCCCTTAATTAAGCAATTAACAAGCATAAAAAACTTAATCAAGCAAGATTACGAACAAGAATTATACCCTTGTTGCGCGCTTTGCTCCCGAAGAGCTCTTACATCAAAATCCCGAAACTACGAGATCTCCGACGGATCGTACGCTCGACCCGACCTGAGCGTCCTAAGTCTTGAAGGTTAGTCAAGACCTAGATAAAACAAAACTATGAGTTTTACGAATCAAAGGTTTACTCTAATTACAAGAGTTGCCTTTTTAATTCCACTCAAGGTTGTGTATTTCCCAATACCATGCCTTTGGTATTTATAGGGAAATGCACCCTTGATTTCCAATCTCCCATCAATGTGGGAGAGTTGGTAAAAATTAACAATTTATTTAATTCCAAATTAAATAAATAATCAACTTAATCACATTGCGATAAGTGGCACAATCACATGCTTGAGTGATGGCCAAGGCTAGGAGGGGGGGACCATTTGCCTTGCTCCCCAAGTCCCTTGATTTGGTCCCCACAAGCAAGCACAAAACTGGCATGGGGGAGGGGTGGCTGGCTGCCAGCTAGCGTGCCAGCTAGCACCAGCCAGCAGCCTTGAATCCCCAGCCAGGCAGTGCTTGCTTGGTGCTGGGCGATGCTTGGCGCTGGTGTGTGCTAGTGCTAGGCGCTGGTGCGTGCTGGTGCTAGGCGCTGGTGTGTGCTGGTGGTAGCACTCCCACGCACTGCCCCGCACACACACACTCCCAGACTACGCGCACCCACGCATCCAGCCCCATGCACGCAAGGCCTAGCATGCGTGCTGCTAGCGAGCCACGCATGCCAGGCTTGGTGCTTGCTTGCTAGCTCTTCCTCGCATACACTCGCACAGCCACACGCACCAGCGTCGGCCATGCACCACGCACTGCGCATGTGCCAGTGCCTAGCACTAGCTGTGCTAGGTGCGTGTTGTCCTGCCACGCGCGCCCAGCATTGTGCTAGGGCTGCGACGACACCGAGCCATTCTTGGGCATGCATGGTGCGCCT